GTCCATCACTGTTGAGTTTTAGTCCCTTTTCTTTGCCTCCAATTGTTTGCATTCCTCACTTATTGGCTCTTGCAGACCTCCTTCAGGCCAAGTCATCGTCCTTGCCCTGAAGTTCCTCACTGGTGGGAGATGATCTCACCTCCACATTTATTCACAAAGTCAAGGTTATCCCCACGAATCTTTCTAATATTCTTGTTCTGTATTAAACTCCTCTGTGCCCTTGTTCTTCCCTTCTATCTTTGCTCCCTTCCCTGAGGATAAAAGTGTGTGTCTTTTTTACATCGTCCATCTCTGACCTCTTCTCTCACATCTGTCCTGGCTCCTCGTCCTCCTCCTCCTCCTCCTCCTCCCGCCTGTTCCTTGATATGAGAGTCCTCTCCAGGATCTGTCCTTGGCTGGCTTCCGCCTTTCCTCTGAAGCTTCATCGTCAGGGTTCTCTTCATCTTTGACTTAAATAGCTGATTCCCAATCATTTATCTTTTGCCCTAGCAGTTTTCCAGAGTTATTTGTAGACTCCAAATGTTCCAGGTTCTCCCAATGTGTCCTGCTACCATTTCTTAGTACCACACTAAAGGAGCACCCATCACACTGTTTCATGAGAGTTTATCCATTTGTCTTCCTCCAGTATGGACTTCCTCAAGGCAGGAGCTGGGGTTTGCTATCCTTGGTTTTCCTCCTTACTATCGCAGTATATGATATCATAGTATGTGTATGACAGCAGGCAAGCAGTACTCATCCGCTGGCTGTACAACCTCCAAGCCTATCTTATATTCTTACCAACTTGTAGATATCCCCACCTGGACATTTCAACTGGATAATTTTTCATTTGCTTTTGATTGATATACCATTCTTGTGAAGTTCCTCCCTACTCCAAAGCATTGTCATATTGAAGAGGAGATGGAGTCATTTGAAAATTGACACTTGACAATCAGGATTTAAAAAAAGAAAAAATACAACCATGTTATGAGCAGTTTTTTGGTTCATGGGCTGGGTAGCCCACAAATGACTATTTTAACTGTTGCATTAAAGATATTGAAAACTGCAGCTCTACTGCTCTCTAATTGCAAAGAATCTTTATTTAAGTAATGAATAGTCATTGCCTGTCTGCAATTTGTTGGGGTTTATACAGGGTATGAGGGGACTTTTAAGATATGTCAAGGGCTTTAGAGGTTGGTATGGCTACTTCTTGAAGACAATTACTATTTCAAAACGTGTGGATTCAGGTGTACCACTGCCATCTTTCTGCATATTAATTATTGCTGTGGTTGTATAATGAAGAGATAACATTTTTTCTGAAGTAACTAAAGGGGAAAAATGAAGGAGATTAAGAGTATATACTTGTCATGACTCTCATATGTATACATACGTGTATATACAAACACACACTCATACAAAGTTGATCCTCATTATTTCTGGATTGCATGTTTGCAAATTTGCCTAGTCACTAAAATATATTTGTAACCCCAAATCAATATCCACGGGGCTTTTGTGGTTATTGAGGAGCATGTGCTGAGTTGTGAAAAATTTGAGTCTCCTGACGGGCACATTCCTAGCTGAAGTCTTACAAGGCAACATTCTGCCTTCTTGTTTCAGCTCTCATACAGTAAACAAGTGTCCTTTCGCAATCTGTTTGGTGCCATGTTTTTTGCATTGCCATGTTTTTGTTAGTGATCTTGCTGTCTACAAAGGCTTCCAAGCATAATGTTGAAGTGCTGTCTAGTGTCTGTAAGCACAAGAAGGCTGTGATGTGCCTTATAGGGGAAATCTGTATATTAGACAAACATTGTTGAGCAGTGAGTTATGGTGCTGCTGGCCATAAGTTGAGTGTCAATGAATCAACAGTATATATTATGTAAGGTGTCTTTAAACATAAAACAGTGTTATGTATTGATCAGTCGATGAAGATGTTGTGACTCCAGAGGCTCTCAGGAACCTTGCATTTTCCCTGGGAGTAACAGTTCAGTATTTGGTAAATCTGTGTTCAGTCTATGAATAAGGAGAATCGAGTGTGTGTGAGTGTGTATGTGTGTGAGAAAGAGAGAGAGAGAGAGCGCCAGAGATTATCCGAGGTGCCCTTAGCTAAGCTCCAGAGAGAAAAAGAAAAAGAACAGAAGAGAGAGCATCGTGCACACATCGTTGTGGGGAAGAAGAAGAAAGGAGGTTTGGGGGCATAGATAAAGTGACAGTTCTCTCTACTTGCCATAAAACACACTGTTGGCCTAGGGCACAGCTTTGTTTCTTTCTGAAATGAACAGAAATGGTCTGATAGAGTACAGAATATAAAGGACTATGCAATTAGTAATTCGTATGTGTTGAATAGTTTGGGAAATGACTCTATAGTGCTGCCAGAAAGTCACTTTGTTCTGAAGACATAGAGGAATTTTATTCTTCTCTTGTATCTCTGATTATTACTTTGATTTACCTTAGCCATCTTTTTTCTGTTATAGCTGCCTTTTGAATTGTTGTTGTTTATTTTTTAAGATCCAAGGAGATTTACTGGGTCCATGGAGTGAGTTTCTAGTCATTTCAACCCTCGATTGAGTCCGTAATAGCAAGGTTGAGTCTATGTTAAGATATTGAAAGTTCAGAAAACAAAATTAAACGAATGAACATAATTACTAGATTGTAGAAAGATAGATTTTTTTTTTTTTTTCCTAATGAGGTTTTGGGTATAGAATGAGGTTGGGCTTGGAATAGCAGACTAACCAACTACTCTGGTAGAAGCTCTCCTTTCTCTTAAAGGAATAGAGAAATTAAAGGGATTAGACACCTTTATGTATTATACTTTGATGTGGACCTGTGTGTCTTAAAACAACCCTTACCTTCTTGGTACTCTTAGCTTTAATATTCTTTTAGAATATTACCCTGTTCTCTCATTTGCCAGATGGGTGGATATTGCCCTTTTAAAAAGTCCACCTTGCAATATGGCTTTAAAGTGGTCCTCTGATAGTATCTGTGAGGCTCACTCTTACAGGTAACTGATAAGTAAATGAGGTGGTATTTTCTCCCTTAAAATTCCTGGGCAAGGGCACAATGAATGGGAGGAAAACATAAGTTTACTATGCAATTAAAATTCTAGAAGAAGATTCTTAATATTTGGAGCAGCTTGAGATATTTGCAATAAAATGCAATTCCTTTACTTCTTTGTATCCTTTTGACACATCACATTCCAAAAGCAAAATTTATGAAATTGTCAGAGGACCAACTTTCTCTTTGTCTGATCTCTGATCAGTTCTTCTTCCCCTGTTAAAGGAAGCTTCTTCTGAGGTAGTAAATTAGTTAATCCCATCAACTGAAAATCTGCATTTCAAAATAATCAGTAAATACAAAGCAGGATTTAGCTCTTACATAATGTCTGTCAATTCTCTAGAAGTCTATCAGGCTTTATCTTCCACAGCAGTTCTTGGCTGGGCTGCTTTTCTGTTTAAACAAAAATAATATTAAAGGAATTTTAAGACTCAAAACACATATA